TTATTATGTTCTCCTAAGTAGCACGGGACACCTTTTGCATAAAAGTTTATCGACAGTAACAGGTGTAGTATTAGAAAGGAAACACCTCCTCGCACTCATATGTCCTGGATACAGAATTGGCAAGATTTTAAAATCGAATGAAAGCTTTTGAATAAATTCTGACAGTGCTGAAAAGACTCTTCGTCCTATTATGTTCTCCTAGCTGCACGACACCTTCTTGCATAAGTTTGTCGACAAGTACAGATTGTAAAATTCTAGGTCTTTAAAGCTCCACTTCAAAGGAAATTAAGCACGTGTTGACCTTCATTTTTGAAATATTTCCCCATAATCCACAAGCACATCTACTCCAAACAAGAGCTTTCATTTAATTTCCAATTTTAAAGTGCCAACATGGGAACTTTCATATGAATGCGGCTTATTCCCTTGAGTAATGATCGATTTTCCGCATTCAGCATTCAGTCTAAATATACGAAAATGTAATTACGACATATAGTTACTGTTATTTCACTACGTGGTAAAAACCTCGCCTAGGTTAATACATTAAAGGGAGAAACTCACATTATTTTCTGTTTTTATAATGTATTAGAACCTGTATAAACTAGTTCACGTCGAGGTTCGCGCCCACGTAAATCGGAAACTACGAATTTTAGGGAAATTGGATTCTCCATTCTCATTTTTCGATTTGCAGTCGCATGCTATTGAAAACTTTGTAGACGATAAAAAAGAGCTCAAATCTCTTAAACGCCGAAGTAAAAGAACGAACATGACGTCTCGATACTTAAAAAAAATGTCAGTTTCTTTTTAGGAAAATAAGTTGATAAATTGCGTTACGAGTGTTTGGAAAGGAACCTTCTCATTTATTGAATTTTACAGCTTGCATATAGAAAAAGTATATGAGGAACATCGTTGATCGTAAATAATTCTTGTTGTTTGTTTGCTTCGTTGTTATAAAATATTAAATTTCGGTTTTTTATCATTGGTGGTCTAAACGAATGATTTTTAATTACCAATTATTATATACATTAGAAACCACGATGTTTATTTCAAGTTTGTTATAACAGGGTGAGCCATGTGTATGGGGGTGGAAGTTTATTAACGCACATATTTAAAAATTCATTGTCGGGGAATGTTAAAATTGTTCATTTTGTGTAGAATCATATTTAGTTTACTACACTAAAAATTTCAACAAATTCGGTTCACTGCGTCGTCTTGAAATTAGGCACGCAGTTTTTCCATAATGTTTTAATGGAGACTTCCAGCCCATTCAAAATATTTTCAACGAATTGCATTACAGGTGGTTTTATATCAAAGTTGCATTTTTATTTTTAATTGAAACCCCCTGATACAATGTACCATATTTCGATTCCTTTGGTTAATTTTGGTGTGATTATGTTAATATGTATTACAATGATATCTAAAATGAGCTGCCATTTCGTCGTTTTTTCAAAAAGTAGATGTCCAGTTAAAAATCGTAGTTATCATAAAACTAAAAGGTCGTTGAATTGCAGTGTAGGTAGGTCTAATCAATGAAGTGTACCTAACGGTAAAGTTAAGCTTCTTATGTGTTAAAATCAACGCAGCGTCAATTTTCAAAATTTCAATCAAAGGTATTCATTTTTTAAATAGAACTACCATAGATCAAAGTGTAAAAGTAAAGTGTAGTTTTTTATTGAATCAGTGTAGGATTTTATTACGTTGCCATTATGCGTTCAGCGTATGTTGTACACTATATGATTAGTATTTGGGTTGAACGCTATCCAAGCCAACCTGCACGTATCCAGGAGAAACGAGTTCTAGCTGCGATTAATTCTCAAAATGTAGGAGGCATCAGGGGTAATTATATATCAATCACCATCATCATTTGTGTTTACCCAATTGACGATCGCCTTTAGCCTTCGCCTTCAACTACGACGTTTAGCTGATTCTTGAACAAAATGGGGATCCTTACCTATAGTAACTTTCTTTGATACTTTACTTTACACAACGCATTAAATAAGGGTCAAACTGTGTAATTTACCTTGCTTAAAATTTTGGGGCGTTGAAAGAGCGTTTCTAGATAAAAATGCATTAGTGTATGGCTTGGATTACAATTAATTAACGGAGTTCCATTTGTATGTCTATTTACGTTCGCCGTTTGAAAATATGCATGTTACTTTTGCTTTCTTTTATTCTTAATTTGAGGTTGTCTATTAGAACCAGGTCACAATTGTTTTCACATATTAAAGATTCGTTTCCTAACACTTTCGACTACGTGACACGCGTCAAAAAGCATTCCAACAATTCATTTTTCCAAACTCATTTCTTTTTTGCGAAACCGATCTGCTTTATTCTACCTAGACGCCCAAACTTTCAAAAAATGAAAGGGCAAAACGTTTGATGGCCTGCCAAAAGCACCACGCCTAATTACGAAAAGGTCATCAGCGGTAGATTTTTTTAGATAAAAAAACATTGCGTATATCTACCTTTATTACGTTACATCCAGCTCCTACAATAATTAAGTTGTCTTGTACGGACATGGCGGGCGGTGTCGGATGTATTACTATAACTTCGATAGCTGTTAAGATGACGTGGATTTCTCAGAATCCAAACACTCACGGTTTTCTGAAAGATATTCAGATTTATGTTTAAGTCACATTTTAAATTCGCTGTAATTTTTCAGTGCAAACAAATTGAAGCATAACCTACTATAGTTACGTAAAAAACTAGAAATCTTTTCTGGTTCTTAAAAGTCGCGTAAACCTTACTTAGCCAGTTCATCATCGCCAAGGCGAATGAAAATTTACTCAAAGATAACACAAATCAGGTTCAACAATTATTGTGAAACTTATCCTATAATAGTTCTAAAAAGGCAGGAGAATTGTTTGGCTTTCGATACCTTTGCACAATCCAGATGGCTCAAGTGAGGCATGGTGTAAAGAATGTAACACAATCCAGATAAGCTATTATAAGAGCACGTATTTTGTAGTACGTATGCCACACTCCAATTAAACAAGAACCTAACTCAACCATTAAACTCACAAGACGGAGTAAAGAATTCTGAAATTACCTTGCCTACCATTACATGTAAGAAGGACGATGACTTCTAAGCAACCACAATACCACATTTAAAGTTACCTCATTAGTAGAAATATAAATTTGACGTACGTATCCCATTTGCACTGCAAAAGTGACGATTTTCAATTTTTGAATATGCGTAGAGAGAAAATTGTTTCAGTTTTGGGCACTCGCTTTTCATGTTAGTTATTTTATTTCGCAACAATTTAAAGGATTTTATAACTTTAAAAAACCTATGAAGGATGAACAATTTTTAATTACAATAGACTTTAAATTCACACATTAATGCTTTTATTATCAATAAAGCTTCTCATGCATTTTAAAATTAAATTATGCTAATTAAAATCTACCAAACACGCTTTTTAATTTGTTTTTTCGTTTGCATGCATCACTTTACCATAAAACTTATTTATCTGTAATTATAGTTATTTATTATGCTAGCAGCTAGACGATTAAGACTATTCCCTAAATTATCTTTTCACGCGATGTTAATTTATCTTTCTCGCCGGTGTATGTGGCTTATTTATTTTTCCATGGCGGTCTGTACAACCAAAGCTGCCCGTAAGTTGTGTAAAAACTATAAGTAATATATTATAGATATATTTATGTAGCGCGTTTAAGTAGAGAGAGACAATAATTGAATGTTTTCTATTTTCTTTAGGTTTCGATTTCGAAGCTCACTTATCATCAGCCTTTTGCTAAATATAAAATATAAACATCAATTATTTACCTCTCTCTACTTACCTGCTACATTAATATATCCAAATAATTCACTGGAGCAATTACATCAATAAAATAACATATTATAAATAGTTTATGGTAAAGGATTCCCATAGACATTAGACAGCTATAGTCTATTTGTAATTGCTACATTGTTTGCGATTTTAGGTTTTCTGAACAGGAAACTTGGGTCTTTTTGAATTTGCAAAATTAAAATTTACTCGGAAGCATTTTGCATCATTTTTAAAGTTCACACAGATTTATTACCAAACATTTAAATTACCCTGTTAGTCCATTTCTTTACTTTCATAAGCACTTCTGTTATTAAAAATGTTGAACTGTCCTCTGTTATTACGAACTTTGCATGTTTTAATTAGATCTGGACGACGCTCGTTCTCACACTCGAGTCACAGTTGGCATTTTGTTCTTAAACTGGTATTGATAATTTGTTTATAGATTGATCATATGCCATTAAAATTGGACCAATAACATACCC